CTACAGGAAGACTTTGGCTGCCTTCAGACAATGACTGAGTGACACGGGGTTGTGGGGAGAGAGGCCAGACCCCTTTCCTCAAGTTGGGGTTAACCTGTGGTGCAGGTTATGCTCCTGGGTTTCTCAAACCGAAGTTAGACCTAAGTGATGACCACATGCTCACTTAGCTCCATCCCCTTCCCTTTCCCTCTCTTGTACATCCTTTCTGCCAAGAGGACTCCTTCAACAAATCCCTTGTACCTAATCCCTGTCCCAGGTGCTGATTCCGGGAAGCCTGGTCTGACTTTTAGGCAAAGCAATGCTTTCCAATCAATGTAATTCCCCCACTTATGCCATAACCTCGGTTTCTCTGTGCAATGTTTGGAATGTAGCTCTCAGATCATTCAGAGAGCTTTTGAAGGTTGTTGCTGGATATTTTCACCTTTTGCAATTACTGATGACAATATACTCTAGAAGACCCTTAATTACTTACCATAGCATTGACTTTTCAGAGATCTGGCATTGGTTTCATACACTTTTCATTAGAAGATTCTGCAAGATACTGCCTTCTTTTGGCTTTTAATTAATTTTGAGATCAAAAGATGGAACCACAGTATATCTCTGCTTTAAAGCTATCATATTTTATTTTGGTACATTTTCTCGTGCGTGTAGGTTCCATGAGTTCAGTAGCTCAGAGCCTTCCATGGGACTTTGTTCTGCAGAAACTTAGCATCACAGTGAAATGCCACAAGTGGTATTGGGGTATAGTGAAAGGAAAGAGTAAAGACTGAAGCTAAACTAGACTAGATTTGAATTCTAGCTTGAGTAAGTATTATTGTATGACTTTGGGCCTCAGTTTCCTCACATGAAAAATGGAAATAGTTTACTTTGCAGGTTGCTGAAAGGATAATGTATGTAAAGTATAGGCACAGCACAGGTTGCACAAAATTGGTAGCTGTTATTACTATGGGTGGGTAGATAGTATATCATGTAGTCAATAGCTACTACTTTGTTTCTTTTCTAAGGTTTATAAATATGGAGAATGTCATTAAGATAATGAGATAACAGGGATTAGAAGAGTAATAATAGCTACTGCTTATAAAGCATATATTTGGTACTAGGCACTGTTTTAAGCAGTCAAACTAATGTAATCCTTATAACAACTCCTTGAGATAGATACTGTTATGCTTCTTCCTCCCACTCCCACACCTCTTTTTACAGGCGAAGAAGCTAAAATGCAAAGACATTTGCCCAAGTCCATGCAACTAAAAAGTCATAGAGCTGGGACACAAATTCAGACTCTCTTCCTCCAAATTCTATACTTTTTGTAACCAATAATTTAAAATTTGGATTAAATTTAATTCTGGGTGAAATTTAAAATTTGTGATGAATGCATTGTTGTTGTAGATATATGTTTCCTTAGAGAAGACTTCTTGGAATAAGCAGGCAGTAGAAAGTTTGACTTTTCTAAGAAGAAAAGGAAGTACAGTAGTCTGAATCTAGGAAGCGCAGTGGGTCTATCTTTGGTTAAGGGTGGGGTCAGGGTTAGACTGCTGGACTTCCCACAAACTTCTCACTGAGCACCTGAGTGACCTTGGACAAGTGCGTTACTTCACATCTCGTGGCCTCTGCTTCTTCCTCTATAAAAGTGAGGATAACCTACTTCATGGGTGTTGTGAGGACTAAAGGAGATAATATATAAAAAGCCTTTAGCCCAGATCTTGACATTTCCTATTATATCTGAGCAGGAAAACATCACCAGGTTTGGGGAAAAGTAAAGTAAAAATCTCAAAGACAGAATAACAGGAGACACAGTAGAAGCATAGTCATATTTCAGGAAATAGAAAGAAAAAATATTTAAGCTGAATTGTCATAAACTACAGCATATTTAAATGAAGATTTCAGCAAAAAGTGATCATTGATACATTGGTACAGAGTTACATGAAATACCCACAAGTTCTAAAAGGGCAAAAATATTCATATTTTCCAATTAAAAAAAGATTATATGCATAGCATCATTTGGAAGTAATTAAGAAATGAGCAAGTAGATGCTGAAAGACTTCCAGGCAAATAGAAAGAGAGAATAGCTGGAAGAGCAAGTTCAATCTGGTTCTTCCAGCATTATCCAACTTTCATATGAATTAGCTCTTTAGAAGCGTGGGTTCATTATGGTCTTTGGTTGCTGTTGGAGACTGGAAGCACCAACTGGAAGCACCAAGCAGTTTTTTAAAATACTTATGATGTTATTTGATTGACGTGCTTAATTGTAACAGCAGAGTGAGTATGTTTTCTTTTGTGAAAAGATGACAGAACAAGATACTAAATACTTAGAAGACCTGCAAGATGAATTTGACTACAGGTATAAAACAATTCAGACAATGGGTAAGTTTTTGTTTTTTCTGTAATTATGCCTAGAGACAAAAAGGCATCTTGAGTAGAGTTTTTTCACTGACAGAGTTGAAAAATTTGATCTACTTCCTTAGGTGAGCCTAGGGAAATACAGGGAGTATTTTCTTGTTTTGCTTCTTCCTTCTCTCTGCATATAAATATGTGTGTGTGTGAGTGTTTGTGTGTGTGTGTGTATCCATGCATATCCAACTAATTCCAAGTAAATTACCAATCAATGCAACATAAATTTCACACTGCGTGAGGAATTGCCCCTACTTCAACATAGGTCTCTAAAAGATAAAAACCTTCTCCTATAGAATTAAAATATAATTATCACAGAAGCAAAAGTAACAATAATTGCCTAATATGATCAGAAAATTACAAGTAGTATTTTAATAATATGATTTTCTAAGATTATAAAGTAGAAATGTCTTTCACAGAAGAAAGCATAAAATATAGGCAAAAGCATTTTTAAAATCTGATGAAATCTCACTATCCACAGATAAATACTGCCAAAATATATTTCCTTCCAGCGTTTTCTCTGTATGTCCACATACATACACATCTATGTATTTATTTTCAAAAAATGAAATCATATTGTATATAATTTTGTGTACTGCATTTAACATTTTAAGTATTTTATCGTGTCAAAAAGTCTCCAAAAACATAATTTTAATAATTGCATAAATGTCAAAATGTAAGGTCACTGCAATTTATTTTACTATTTTTTCTGTGGTTTAACACTGAAATTGTTTACAACTAGGTGTTTTCTTAAAATGAAGGGGAAGAGAATATTTACAAGACCTAAGATTTACAAGTAATAATAGAAAAATAGTTTAAAGTATGTTGCAATTAATGGAACAATTGGCAAGATTCTAGGTCTAGTTTAGTTGATGGAATTGTGCTGATGCTAATTTACTTGTTTTGATCATTGTGCTTACTATGTTTATGTAAGAGAATAGAAGAAACTAGATGAAGGATATATGACAACTCTGTGCTATTTGTGCAACCTTTTTGTAGCTCTAAAATTATTTCAAAATAATTCAAAAAAATAAATCAGATACAAACTTTCCATTTACAGAATCATCTTTGACTATTAAAATGTTGGCCTAAAATGTATCTTGAAGGAAATATGAATGATTGTGGTCAAGCATAACTTTTCATACGTGAAGATGAGGTGTTTTGGGTTCTTCTCCTGATATGCTTAAGATGCCTTGACTTCCAGGAAATATTATTCAAAATGTTCACAATTATTTGTACATACAACTTTTCCATTCAGAAGAAATGGCACAAACTTGGGTTTCATTATCAAAGGGGGAGTTCATGACCCTAAAAGGGTTTAGAACAACTATAAATGTAATCAAGTGATGTTCATTGAAGGCAGCCTTATTCCAAATTTTATATGCAAACTACTAATTTTAAAAATTAGGTTATTTTGAACTTAATTTGTTATGATTTGAGTCACTTTTTCAGTGCTTCATGTCCATTATGAATTAAAATGATTATTTTTATCACCTAAATCCACAAATATTTATTTTGTTTGTCCCATCCTGTTATAAGTGAAAAGAAAAATACAAGGGAAACAATTTATTATATCCTTGGTGAAGATGCAAAAGGTTAGCTAAAGAAGTTTTCAGTTGCCAAAATGCTACGTAAGCAAGATTTTGCTATGTATGGGATCTAGGAGTTAGTAAATTTGTGAATCATTACAACCAGAAATGAGTTCCTAGAGATTAGTCCTGTTTTGTAGAGAAATTTGCCCCAGTGTTGTTCTGGGACCTCTTTTTCACAATTACACAAGTCAAATCAGCATTCTCAGTCCCCATTTTTCATGAACATGAATGGTTGGTATAAACAGTCATTTGCCATTGTAGGAGCAAAAAGGGAAACTTCCCCCTTCACCCTCTGAAGGTTCATTGAATATGCACTAATAAAATGTAGATCAATAGGAGAAAAAGGCATGCAAATTAATTTAACATGCACAGCATGGGAGAATAGCAGGAGAATGGTTACCCAGTAATCCAGTGGGGTACAGATGTTGATATGCCCTTCTTCATAAGGGAAAGGGAGGTTGGAAATGTAGAAGCAAATGATTTTTAAAGTTAATGAATGGACCCAATGCTCAGACAGTGGTTAGTAAATAATACTCTTGAAGAATTGACCGGAACCTGAGAACAAACAATGGTTTGGGACAAAGTTTGAGCTCTAGGTGTGGTGTTTAATTTTCAGACTTTTCCTCTGTTTTATGAATTTTAAGTTTATCTGATTAATGAAATTTCAGGGAAGGGATCCAAGGCAATTGTGTTCCTCTTAGGGGTCCATTTTCTAGGTAGATCAGGGAGCTTCCGAGTACTTCATGTGTGCTGTGGAGAGACAGAGGATTGAGAGAGACCTTGAGGCTGCTGCTTTAGTTCCATTATTTTGGGGTGTCATTTTCTGAGCCCCATCACTATGTCAATAAAGTTTAATGTTCAAATTAAATAATATAATGTTTATTTATTGTATGTATCCCCATGTAAAAAAGGATAAATCTTTTTTTTCAGTCAGATATTTTTCTAAGTTACAACTCTGGCCCACTGCTAGTTTTACAATGAAGCTAGAGCATTTTGGGGAAAAAAGAAAAAAAAGTGGGAGAAAGTAAAGAACTTAGTCTTTTATTAGTTCGTGAGACTAGGTAGATAAGACTGTAACTCCATGAGGCAGTTTCTCATAAAACCTGCATATGAAGCAGAGCAGGGAGGGGTAGGTGAAGGCAACAGAGAGTCAAATATGATTTAATCAGGAGCACAAAGGGTAATCCCCGCCTTCCTTACTTTTACCAAATAACCAAGTATATAATTAATGTGGAGGTATCCAGTAAGGAATCCATTACAGCAACTTTATCTCCTCTGTCCACCACCACCAAAACAAAACAAAACCGGACACCAAGTGCAGAATGGTCTTTCCTGAAGGTCTGTAAAATAAAGAGGTCCTTTTTTTCATGCTTGGATGTAATTCTTTCTGGCAAAATGAGCAGACAGAGACTTCCAAGCTCACCTCTAGTGAACCCAATTAGTCTCTTATCACGTAAGTTCTCTGGGGCAGGGCTGTTTTAGGGTGGTGGATTGAGGCTGACTTGACTTTCAGGAACAGAGAGCTTTGACTTGGCGAGGACTCTAAATCTGATCTCTCTACCTTTGCAGATCAGAGTGACAAGAATAGCGCCATGATGAATCAGGAAGTTTTGACACTGCAGGAAATGCTTAACAGCCTCGATTTCAAGAGAAAGGTTAGTGAAGAATTTTAATTTGGGCTTTTGACTATTTTTCTCCTTTTTTCTAAACTTAGACTAACTGAAAAGAATCAAGCTGTCAGATTTTATCAGTTCCATTTACTGAATGAAAAAACGGCAAGGTTTCTAGGAACAGTCCCATGCTGTTTGCCATGCTTCTCTTCATGAGTTTACAATGCTGGACCTCTTTAGAGACTATTCATCTTGCTTATGTGATACATTTACTATAGCTAACATTAATTTCAGGGTGGAACTTTTACATGATTTTTATTTGTCATTATTTCAGACATGGCTGTTTTAGTTTAAGTACTTAATATGCTGAGATGGGTTCCACTGCACATATATAATTAAAATAGCATTTGATGACTGCTAAAATCTTATTGGAAAAATAAATGTTCTAGTTTCTACTCTGAGAAATGACGTAGTATTAAGCAATTTCCTAGATTTCAAAATAGTTCATTGGCAACTGAACATATTCAATCTAACTTCTTCCAAGGAGAGCAAGAACTTTTTTTCTGGTTTAATTAAATATTTTTAAGGAGGGGAAACATCTCTATTTCACTTTTCTACCTATCTTGAAAAATAAATGCAATTGAAATTTAACCAGTCACTAATAAATCAGTAGTTCATTTCTAAAAGTTCGGCTCAATTTTTTGTGCAGGAATTTGTGTGAGCACAAACAAGTACAACATTTATTTTTACCCTAAATTAATTATAAACAGTTATGTATCAGATTTTAAGTATGCAAGTAGTTAATTCAAGAAAAAGTTAATGTTTTTATGCATAATAAATCTATGCTATGTATTTTTATGCATGACATTTTATTCTACTTTAGGAATAACATTTTAAAAAGAGAAGGAACATTGACGATAATTCAGTTCATTCAATTGGTTGTATAAATGAGAATATACCAAGTTTCAGCAAAACTAAATACTTTGCTCACATTCATATAGCTTACAATAATGCCAGAACAGAAATTCATATCTTCTACCCCCTAGACCTTTGAAAGTTATAATTCTCCATTATGCCTTCCAAAACCCAGAAACAGTCCTAATAAAAATTAACACAGAAAGGCTCAAATTTTAGTCAGCTCATTTTAATATAAATGGATAACCATCTTTATTTAAAAAATAAATTAAATATATAAATATCCTTTTAATAAGCAACTATACAGTTTTGTGACTACAAGATTCAATATCATTGCCACAGGACTTACAAATTCAATATATTTATACTGAAACACATGAAGAGAATGTTAAACTGTGGCCATTCTTCTTTTCTCATGACATCTTTTATTGTCAATAATTTAATTGTTTGAAAAGGCCTGGCAAATAGAAGCTAGTATTTAGTAAAATATTTGGTCAAAATTTTAACCAAGCCCTTGTCTACCAGGTCAAATAGTTTTGTAAATTGAATTCTAAGTGACTTATTTCTTATGAAACTCTTTTCAGTAGTCCCCTTTGTTTTTAGGAGGCTCTCAGTAAAATGACCCAAATCATCCATGAGACGGACCTGTTAATGAACAACATGCTCATAGAAGAGCTGCAAGACTGGAAGCGGCGGCAGCAAATCGCCTGCATCGGGGGTCCACTCCACAACGGGCTCGACCAGCTTCAGAACTGGTAAAACGAATTGACTGCAGTTTCTAGTGAAAACCACAGGAAATACAAAACTTCAGTGTCACTCAGCCAGAGAATGCAGGTTTAGACTGCAACATCAGTTCATTCAGCTTATTGATGGCTTATTAGCATCTGAGAAATCTATAGTTGAAAACGAGTAGTATAAGTGTTCTTAGTTTTCATTCTCATGGGGAAATCAAAGAAAGCATCTATCGAATGCTGAATTTTCACATGCAAGGTATCAATCTTAAAAGACTCAAATAAATTTTGAAACCGACAATATACTTTCTTTAAGGACAGAATAAAGAAGTACTAGTTTCAAAATCTTGAAAATAGATATCTCAACTTTTAAATGTTAGTTTTGTGTTTTCAACATAGTGATTTCTTTTGTCAAAGATGTTGGTCAAGGATAGAAAATTTCAGTTAGGAGGAATAATTTCAAGAGATCCATTGTACCTCATGGTGACTGTAGTTAATAACAATTTATTGTATACTTGAAAATTACTAAGAAAGTAGATTTTAAGAGCTCTTACCACAGAAAAGTAAGTATGTGAGGTAATAATGCATGTTATTCAGCTTGATGTAACTATTCAACAATGTTTACATATATCAAATATATACAATACCACAAATACCACAAATATATACAATTTTTATGTGTCAGTTTTTAAAAGTCACAAATGGTTAATACAACCCGGCATTCTGGATCTATGTACGCACACATGCAATGAAATGTAGATAACTACCCTTTGCACTAGAAGATTAAAATGTTCATAGGGTTTTCCATGTCATAAATGCAAAATAAAACTATTTGACTGAAGGAACAATTGGAAAATATGAAAAAGAAAGAAACTGTTCAGTTAAAATCTAAAATTGGTTCCTAAGAGAACAAGTCAATACAATGGAATATGTAGTAACTGGGGACACCCTCACTAAAAGCTCTGCCCTGCCAGGCCTACTTGTCAAGAAATGTAAGGAGTTTGACTCATTTTAAAACATTGATTTTCCTTGGGAAGACACTTTGATTCTCCAAGTCACTGTACTCTGTTGTGAAAACAACAATAAAAGGAGCAATAAAGATCTTAACCGATAATGGAGCTCATACCAAAAATCAGCAGGGATTCATCCACTCTTGCCATAGTCTTATATGTGGAATACTGTAAGTAGAAAGAGTTGCTGTATGGTGAGGTGGACTTTCCAAGTCTGATAAGATGTTCTGTCTCCTGTAGTTGGAAGTCCCTTCCGTGTCTATTTCAATCTTACTCTTTCCCAGGCTTCTGGCCCACACTGCCACCTCCATTTCTGAGGTGAGATCACTGCGTAATGAATAAAATTCCAAGCAGTTATCAGGGGCAAGCATTTCTAAATATACCTTACTCTAAAGAGAGTCATTGATCACTTTTGGCTAATACTTAGGACTTGTAAAAATATATGTTGTGGGGGAAGATCGTTTCATATGCTTTTCATATGGGTTTCATATGTTTTTCTTGCAGTATGCTTACATAAGAAAACATTAACCATAGCATGTTTTTTATGGCTTTAAATTTGCTCTTTTTTTGCCCTTTAGTGAGTGCCACATTTTTAACATATATATGCTTAATAAGCTTAAACAAAGAACAATTAAAAGGGATTTGGTTCCAGATGTTGATAAAATTTCATAAATGATGACATATATAATTGAAGGTTTAAATGAGAAAACATTGAAAATATTTAACATATGCATATTCAAGAAAAAAATGGGTTAGGAAAATAAAAATAAAGAAGTGTCACTAACCTAAATCAAATTAAGTGATTCATTTAATTAATTTAATAATTACTTAATAATTTAACATTTATTAACTATGACCCATTGTTACAATCCTTTTTTATTATTAAATGGAAAAAAACTATCTTTGATTTTCATTTGCTGTTCAATAGCTTTACACTATTGGCAGAAAGTCTTTTCCAACTCAGAAGGCAATTGGAGAAACTAGAAGAACAATCTACCAAAATGACGTATGAAGGTGATCCCATTCCAGTGCAAAGAACTCACATGCTAGAGAGAGTCACCTTTTTGATCTACAACCTTTTCAAGAAGTAAGTAAAGTGCTATCAATGGCATCCTGCATTCTGTGAAGTAAGAACACCCTGCCTAAGGTTTTGGCGTTTAGGTGGAAGAGTGGCAGGGAAGTATTCAACAATAAGCCTCAGGGAGAAGTGAATAGAACCCTAGAAAGTTTCAGAAACCACATTTCTACTCTTCACTATTTATTCATCAACACTTCTCTCACCAACTGGCTCAGTTTTCCACAAGCTAAGTCATGTCACTTACCTACAGCTCAGTTTTCACATTTTAGAAAAAGTTTCAAGGGTTTTTTCTTACGTGCATATGAAACAAAGGATGGAGAACTTTTTCATGTTTATAACCTAATCTAAACAAAAAATACTAACATGTACCAGAAATCCTAATATTTAGTCCAAAAAAAGTCATGAAATTTATTTTTGGCCAGGCATGGTGGCTCACCCTGTAATCCCAGCACCTTGGGAGGCTGAGGCAAGGGGTTGCTTGAGCTCAGGGGTTGTAGACCAGCCTGGAAAATATAAAAAGACACCTATCTCTACAAAAAATAAAAAAACTTATCCAGGCATGGTGGCACATGCCTATAGTCCTAGATACTCAAGAGGCCAAGGCAGGAGGATCACTTGCGCCCAGGAAGTTGAGGCTGCAGTGAGCCATGATCGTGCCACCACACTACAGCCCAGGCAACAGAGGGAGACCCTTCTCAAAAGAAAAAAAATTACTAAATGGACTGGGGCTTTTATTCATGGCTCAATTATAACAATTAAGATTCATTTACTACTGTTAAATGATTTATAAAAAGTCATTGTAAAGATCTGAGTTTAATTGGGAGTTTGAGTATCTTCTAAGTGTAAAAAATTTGGACTTTATGAGTGGATAGCATCCTGTTCCTCTGTGGTTTTCAGTCTCAATATTTTCAATGTTTTCAAATGACGCGCTTTATTTCCTTTTCATCTAGCTCATTTGTGGTTGAGCGACAGCCATGTATGCCAACCCACCCTCAGAGGCCGTTGGTACTTAAAACCCTGATTCAGTTCACTGTAAAACTAAGGTAGGCAAAACATCTATGATTTAGTGTGTTTGTGGAGCTAAAGTCTCTGGATAATCATGGCCAGTTTCTCTCATTGTGGCTTGCATTCAGCTGTTCTTTATTGAACCATCTGCTGTGTGCCTAGCTCTGAGCTTTGGGAAATACCCACAGAAATGTAAAGATGAGAGCCCTGCTTGTCAAGAGCATGACAGTGCAGATGAGGACGTGAAAGTATGGAATCATAAAATCAGGCACAATTAAATTAATTGCTGAAAAGGTTGACTTGAGAAAAGACTGGAGAGATTGGGAGAGGGGAGGAGGATTGTAGGAGAGTGGGAAATAATGGCTTCCTAGGTCTGTCTGGTAATCGTGGGGAGCAGGGGGAGACAGAATTGAGAGGACAGATTGGGGACAGATTCTGGAAGGCTTTGAATATCCTATCCAGGAAACATAGTGGCACATTCATCTCCTGAGATTACCCAGTAACTGGTTTATTGGACTTTCCGCAAAAACTCCCAATACCGCAGTTTCCCATATATCCCTACTGTGTACCTGATTTAAAGACATAACTTTTGTGTTACTGTTGCTTTCTCTGTGAATTTGATCCTTTCTATTAGCATGAGCAATCAAAACTTATAGTTTTCCCTAATGATGCTGAGAACAATGAGTTTGACTTCTTACTTTCAAAGATTCTCATCATGCCTGAAACTCCAAGAACTAAAGCTTTAAATGCCTAATCACTAGGTCACCTCTGGAAAGCGGAAACCACAGACTAACGGGGTCAAGAGGTGGCGATGCCATGGTACAGAGCAGTTTAGGGTTCTATGATAGGGTTGCTGATCACATATCACTATTAGAACTCCATTTTTAAAGAGAAGGCATTTGTCTTCAGTTTGCATTTTTAAGACACCATTAACATTCTTAATCAGTTTCTTTGTGTGAATTTTGCACCAAGATTTAAGAACTGAAAACGAAAGGCTGAGGCTAGGTTCCTTTTTAAATTGCACTCTTGGCCAGGTATGGTGGCTCATGCCTATAATCCCAGCACTTTAGGAGGCTGAGGATGGCAGATCACCTGAGGTCAGGAGTTCAAGACCAGCCTGGCCAACATGGCAATACCCCATCTCTACTAAAAATAGAAAAATTAGCTGAGCATGTTGGCACATGCCTGTAATCCCAGCTACTTGGGAGGCTGAGGCACAAGAATCACTTGAACCCAGGAGGCAGAGGTTGCAGTGAGCCGAGATTGTACATTGTACCACTGCACTCCAGCCTGGGCAACAACAGCGAGACTCCATCTCAAAAAATAAAATAGAATAATAAAGTAAAATTTAAAAATAGGCATTCTTATCAAAAGTTGTTCCTTCCTCATTCCCACATCTCTATATAACTCGGAGGAGAGTGAACTAGGATGGAGAAGTGGTGGACATTCTACTTTTCCTTGAGACACTCCTATAGATGATATAGTAAATCTAAGATGCTCTCTGGGACAAAAGGGGAGATGAGTAGGGATTGCCTAGCAAAAACTTCTAACTCTGAATCAGCACCACTTGCATGTTGTGTGAACTAATTGCCAGAGGCATAGAACATTAGCCTCTGGTTGTAGGCTCTGTCTTCCTCCTGTACCTGGTAGGTCCCCCTCCTCCTCCTCTGCACCCTATTCCCCACCGTCTTGATAGGTGATCCTTTACTCAAGGTTTTCCTAAAACCCCTCTTTGCCATACCGTTGCGTCCTCCTGTTTCAAAGGGAAAAATGACCTTGAAGGGGAAGAATGACTCCATGGGACTTGTCAGCATCTTGCAGTAAATCAGATCCTTCCTGAAGTAGTATAGAAAGGAAGGTGGAGAGGAAAAACATCTGGCTTTATTTTATGTGACTATGCCCCCTTCTCACCATTCACTACCAATCACTGCATACTCAACATACTCCATACCCTAAACCAATCTTGTGCCTCATACAGGACTTTTAAAGAGCCTTTGCAACATTCTACCCACCCTTTTGTTTGGGCTGCCCATGAGCTATGATTTCATTTCTCTAATGCCAGTGAGTTGCTTGTCACCATATTCTCTATATTCTGTTTGTGTGCCTGGACTCCCTCCTTTTACATAGAGCCACGTCCACTTTTCTCCCTTCTGCAGTCTCTGCTACATCAGTTCTCTGGTACCTAAGGGTATACTGGGTAAATATTAGGAGCTCAATGCATGCTGAGTGAATGAGCAAAGTTTAGGATGAGGGCATGAGTAAATGAATGAATGTGTGAGGGATCGAATGACTATCTCTGAAACTGCACTGAACCCACAGGTAGGTTTCATCACAGGACAGAAATCTGAGGAGCTGGAGAAAGCAAAAGAATAAAGGATGGGCTGACACCAGAAGGAATTAAAGGAATTTTTACACTGAACTTCAATTACTTGTTCATTTGAAATTTGGGTTTTTTATGAACATTTTTGCTGTTACTTAAATATAGTGTTTTGAAAGATTTCAAATGTATTTGAGTTGTGATTTTCCATATTTTACTAGAGTTCTGTCTCAGTATGTTCACCATAAAACACTTATCATTAAAGCTTACAAAGTGGTTGGTTTTTTTTTGGTAATATGAGGATAAAATGAAGCCATACAACAATTTTTTTATATCTATACATCTAACCCACATTTGGGCTTTAACCAAAATATATAGCTTTTTTTCTGACCTCGCCAATGTATTATCCAGCAAACATCAACTGAAGCAATATGGAAACAGTTCCAAGTGTTTGTCAATAATGCTATTAAGTGACTGATGTCAACATTAGTAACATGGCAAAGGTAAAAAGGCATTGTACATTTTTAAAACACAAACTGTAGATTATGTAAGGTGTATTTATATGCATATTTCATAAGTATATTTGAATGTTTAAATATAAAAAAGGGTTTTTAAACACTTTTGATTTTTATCTTTGATTTTTTTTTTATTGATGTCTCTTTCCAGGCTATTAATAAAATTGCCAGAACTAAACTATCAGGTAAAGGTTAAAGCATCAATTGACAAGTAAGTTTTCTAATTTCATTTTGAATTGTAATTCAAAATGTAAGACTTTTAAAAATGAATGGCCCTTATTTTATAGAATAATTTTGCACTTTTAAATGTACTTCTCTAATATTATATAATGAATGTACTTCAAATATTTGACTTTGAAGTTCAAACATTTAACAAAACTCAATGGTTATCTTAAATTTAAAATTTTACTAT